ATGAAGATCCCAGAAACGGAACCCTTATCATACAGAAAATTATCAACAAAGGGATGTATCAAAGTAAGTTAAACTTTGTTATAATTAATTTTTTTTCAAAATTTAAATATTACTAATAATAATAGTTAATAAAGCTTACTAATAATCTAAATAATACTTAGTCAGACTCTCACATAAATTACGAAAATTATAAGAATTTAACAAAAAACATTTATTAATTTTAAAGTTTAAAAAAGGGCTTGAACTATTTATTAACGTTTTGAACATTTTTGCCATTCATATGAGAGGAAACCAGTTCTACATTCCTGTTGTACTATTATTGAATTTTCCCAATTATAAACTGGCAACTACTCTATGAAAATAAGGATACAAATTGTTTATAAATTCAGCTAGAATAGTATGATATTAAGTAATTTCTAGTAAATTTTATTTACAAACTATTTAAATACGAAAAGTCATGAGATTATTCTTATTCTAATTATTCTTATTCTTATCTCTTATGACAATCTAATTACTCTTATTCTAATCTCTTATGACAATCTAAGAAGCCAAAAAATTTTGGATTTATGTTTTTTGTTAATGTTAATGCAAAATATATGCATTGGGTGGACTATTTTGCGATATTTATAAATAAATGTTGATTTTTATTATTGAAAATATTGTGAGAAAGGGACAAGCAATATCTTATTACATGTCTCGAGAAGTAAAAAAAACGCAACAATTGAATTTTTCTTTCATCCCAATTATGGTCTTTTTGAAAGGCTCCAATAACTCCCACAGCATACATTGGTTACACATCAAGAGAGTTACTTTTCTTTCTTTTCTTCAAAACGTTTTACTATCTTCCGTCAATTGTCTTAAAATGTGGTATGATTTCTTTCAATACCCATTGGAATTTCTCATTAGAGAGAAAGATGAACTTTTTTTTTCTGTCTTTATCCTACAATTCTTCTCCCAATTTCTTCCGACTGAAGGATTGGTTACTTACGGGGGCAAGGTACGTTTCAATTGACCAAAATAGGTAAAAAAATCAAATCTAATTTTTTAGCCTAAATTACTCTTTATATACTTTTCTATAATCTCACAAAATTTGAAAGCTGTAAACTTAAAAAAAGCAGAATTATGATAGCTTTGACGTTCGTTTTTATTCACATCCCTATTGCAAATCAAAACTTTATATTTATTTATCTCAGAAAGGTAAAATAACTAGTTTGACTTCATTTAAAATGCTAAGTTTTTTTTATTCTGCCAAATGCTTTGAATTTTTTTTACCTATAAACCAATAGCCCACGTAACAAAAGTTGTGCATTTTTGAATCAAACTAATACTTATTTCTTTAAAAATAATTGAACTCAGAATTTTTATACATTTTTTAAGGAATTTTCAATAAGCATTCATAAAAAGAGGTATTGTACAAATACCAATCATGTTATCGCAAACCCCATACCAACTATTGTTATACATAGTTTGACGTACTTGTAAATCAAATTTCATGCGTGTATGTAAGTTTTTGTGTGTGTGTAGGAGGAGTAGCATTTTAAATTTACTTCACAAATTTCAAGTTTTTTCCTTAAAAAATTATATGGCTAGTATTTTATGAAATTTTGAGCACAAAATCTGTTTTACATAGTATATACACATAGGAGGCAACGAAAAAAGTTTTAAAAATCCTTAAATTAAAAATTTTGCTTACATCGTACCATGTTCCCTTAACGTAATACTACAAAGTTACACGAGGAATATATTGGTAACGAACCTCATGATTTGTAATCGCGGTTAAGAGACGATGATTATACCTGAGATAGCATTTCACTCCCAATCTTCTGCACCGTACTAAAGTGAAAACTTTGAACCTTGAAAGATTTAACATCAACTCTTCTACAAGTCAGGGGTGGCCGCGGTTGCCGAGTGGTATAGGTATCGGATCGTGGCTTGCCTGGTCACGAGTTCGATCCCAGTACCACTAAAGACCCGCCGTGTAGGGCAGCGATGCACGTTAAATCTGTCGAGAGCTGAAACGTCCTCCCGTTGGTGTGGTGTGGTAGTTAGGAGAGGGGGGTGCCAGCTCAGGTGTCGTCCACGTCACTTGACCATGGTTCAAAATTACGTGGTCCGTCGCCAAAAGCCCTCGTGTAGCTGAACAGTGCGACGTTAATATTAAATCAAATCAAATCTACAAGTCAGGGAGGCCACGGTAGCTTAGTGGTCAAATTCACAGACGCGTAGCCGGCGTGTCATGAGTTCTTGTGCCGCTGAAGACCCGCCGTGTAAAGAGGCTGATGCACGTTAAATCTGTCGAGGCTAAAACATCCTCCTGTTGGTGTGGTGGGAAAGTTAGGAGAGTCGTCCTCGTCAATTGACCATGGTTAAAAATTACGCGGTTCGTCATCAAAAGCACTCGTGTAACTGAACAGTGCGAAGTTAATATTCAATAAGTCTACACGTCGGGTCCTCATTATAACTCTTGCTTATGATGCTCGTTGACCTGTGATTTCACTGCCCCTCCGTCGATTTCTCAATTAACCTGAGTTTAAATATAAACAGATCTACTGTGAGTTAACTATAATTTGATCTCTAATAAAATTGTCTAGTAATTTTATGTAGAAATTTTACTGAAGTATATACATATTATCATCGCCTCTTGGTTCTCATGATTTAGTTTTATACGGTCCGATTGAGGGATGCTTTTCGTAACTTCCTAACCGACATTAATTCAAAAGTTAGTTAATTAGCTGTAATAAAAACCAAATTTACACAGATATCGTTATATTCTGGTGTACAAAATTACTATAATATACATATTTAGTCGAATATCTCGAAAAGCACAAAATGATAGAATTGATGTTTCCAAAGACGAAAATTTTGCAGTCGGGAATATGAATAAGCGTGTACATACATAAGCGAGTGGGTAATGCATTTTGGTAAACTACTGCTGTTCTGTTAATTTTCTTACTCCTTTCTTTTGCACTGATGATTTTTGTGGGACATTTTTTTAATAACATTTCGTGAAATTTAAGAGTAAGTTATTTTATAAACTAAGTTATAAGCAACGTTTGCTTAATGAAACGAAGTGTATAAATGCCGGGAACCTTGCGGTACCACAGCCTCAAATGCATATTGATAGAGAATTTTATGTGTAACCCCAGAAATATTAGCTTACATCAGAACTTCTCAAACACTAATATTTGCGACCCAATCTTCAATAATAATTTTCATCACCCTCTTCTCCGTACATTTCTAATGTATTTAATTCAATAATAATGTACGACGCGAAAGCTTCAATACAATTTTAATTTAAAACAATACAAATTATCAAAATAAGTATTGCATTTTGTATATAATCTTGTTTATGATACGACCATGGGGGTCACTAATAATTATAAAGCTTGTTCTTAATTTAATATACTGATTATCAACTACATTGTGCAGTACTGATGCATTTATATAAGTATATTAGTGTAAATGTGTATTTTAGTTTTATTACATCGGAATATATTTTGTTTTGCTTATTTCCAATAAATTTGTAATTTTTTAAATCTTTTATTTTCGACTTCGATATGCTCAAGCCTCTTAGTACCGTTATCAGAACCACCTGAGAGGGTGCGCCTCACAGTTTGAGAAACAATGGCTTACATGATAGTTTGATGAAATTGAATCCATAGAAAAAAAGGCCTATGCAAAATCATCCTAAAGCTGAAAGCTGATGCAGAAATTACTAATGAAACTTCTATCAAAAGTGTTGTATTGTGTAATGTTTTGCATTGTTTGGAAACTATGAAAGCATATCTTAGGCAGCAGGATGTAAATGACGTAGTCGTTTCTCCTCGGCATGAAATCGGAAAAAAAACTCTTTCATGTCACGAGTCAAAAAGATTGTGGAACATCTATTAGTATTTTAAAATTTCCAATTAACCTCCGCGTAGCAATTCACTAATAGTATTTTTAACTGCTGAATAAAAAGTGTGTAATTTCTAAATATGAATATTTTTATGTTGTTGCTTATTACAGAATTCCAAAGACGTGAGTGCGAAAATTTGTGTATTGTTTGGACCCTCAATTAATGAACAAAGTGTTCGGTCTGGATATTTTTGTTAAATCGGGTTCCGAACTGCATATTATTTCGACTGAATGCAATATTTGTATTTTCCACGCTCTTTGACCTCCATTAACGCCAAAAATATGAAACTTCTATTGGTCACGATACATAATTTTATTTCAAAAGTGTTCGGTCTCCAAAATATGTTACTTTTTACACACAAGCTTTTATTTAACTTGCAATGTAAAATGTTCGGATGGAATGTTGTAATTCAATTTTGAAGCTGATGTCTTCGACCGATTGAGCTGAAATTTTGTATACACGTTCAGTTTGGATGGCAATGCAGGTTTTGAGTATTTATATTCCGATATTGCAATTAGTTAGAAAGATATTAATTACAGTAATTTGTTCGGGTGGAATCTTGCAACTCAATTTTGGAGCTGATGTCTTCAACCGGTTAAGCTGAAATTTTGTATACACATTTAGTTTGGATGACAACGCATCTTTTGATGATTTATATTCCGATATCGACCAAGTTACGGAAATGATGTTCTTCAGGTGTTCAGGCCAGCATGTTTACAATAACACAGGTGTCGACCGGGAGTGTAGCTCAGACGGTAGAGCACTCGCTTAGCACGCGAGATGTACGGGGATCAATAACCCGCGCCTCCAAATATTATTTTTTCGTGTAAAATATTTTTCAAATTCCTTTTCATTTGCATAACGAGATATTTTACAATACTTCCACTCTGCATACGGACAATGTATGTTACATTTTTCTGTTCTAGAGGGAATACTAAGAAATGCAGATCTATCAAGCAATTTCTATTTACTTTGAAACATTCTATGTTATCTATTTAGTCGATTCTAGTTTCTCCCGTAACACTTTTAATTGACATAGTTACTGTAACGATCTTGTTCTGGTGTTAAGGCAAGCATATTTACAATAAGACAGGTGTCGACCGGGTGCGTAGCTCAGACGGTAGAGCGCTCGCTTAGCATGCGAGTGGTAAGGGAATTGATACCCCGCGCCTCCAATTACTATTTTTTCGAGTAAAATATTTTTGAAATTCGTTTGATTTGTACCGCGAGATATTTTATTACTTCCTTTCTGTATACGTACAAAATATGCTATATTATACACACAAGCTTTTATTTAACTTGAAATGTAAATTGTTCGGGTGGAATCTTGCAACTCAATTTTGAAGCTGATACCTTCAACCAATTGAACTGAAATTTTCTATACAAGTTTAGTTTGGATGACAATGCATGTTTTGACCATTTATATTCCGATATCGCAATTAGTTAAAACGACTAACTGAATGGCCAGGGGTTGCACGTACTTTTTCTACTTTTACAAATTTCCCCTTTCCTTCACAAAATCAGCACTTCTAGTACTCTTTTTCAAAATGACTTCCACTCCCTCCTCCCCCACTCACCCCGGTGTTGCTGGGGTTTTACCAAGTGTACAACTTAAAATTCCCTGTTTCGAAATTTTTTTCTCTTCTTTTCTTTATCAGACAGCTTTATTTCCCCCTGGCGTTGCAGGAACATTTTTAAGTGCATAACATATTGTCATGGAAAAAAAATCCCCCTTCTCCTCTCGCTATCAGAACTCTCGAGTAAGTGAATGTTCACCGATTCTTAAGCAGCTTGACAGGTGCAGCCATCTAGTGACACAAAAAGTAATGAATTATTGCGCCAAAAAAGATCGTTTAAAAAGTTTTAGACATTTTATTTTTTTAATCACTAACTGGAAAAGATCAAAGTACGAGATTTTTACGTATCCTTTTCATACAAACGCATCGATACTGTTTCATTTTACAAAAAATCATAAAATATGTAAAAATTCATTGTTTTGTATAAAAAAATACTGTATTGAGACGAAATAAGTTATCTTTCCAATTACAAAAATGTTGGCGAAGTTATTAAATGCGCGAAAAAATTTTGAGTTTTTTTTTACAAAAATCACATAAAAACTAAGCGGTGATATTGCTTCGAACTCGGGTACAAAAATTACTAATCCAGCGCTTTAAACGACTGATCCCCGAAATCTTCGAAAAGAAAGAAATAATTGACCGTTGAAATAAAAGAAAGATGTATTTTTAATTTCGCATTGCGTTATTTGTTATAGTTAAAATAAATTTTCGATCTTCATTTTAAAGTTAATGCCTTCAAACTTCATATATCAATTCAAAATAACGGTAATTTTTAAACATGAAATGTAACAAAAATAGTGCTTAAATATTTCTCGCTAAAGGAAAAAAAAAAAAAAAAAAACACAACACAATTTTTTTTTTAAAACCGTAATTCTTAAGCAATTTTTTTTTAATCTTTGTACAGATTACTAATAATATCGTTCTACACACGAAAAAAAAAAAAAAAAAAAACTTCCATAAGATTATTTTTACAAATAAAGAAATTATTAAGTATTTGAATAGAATTTTGAGTAATTTTCAAAAATCGTAAAAAAAAAAGTTTATGACATTTTATTTTTAAGTGATTGATTCTAAAAGAAAAAAGCGTGAGCTTTATTAGTGTAAGATATCATTTCATTAACTTGAAAGAAAATGCATTCGGAATGATTTAGGAATCATTTTCATAAAAGCATATAAATTTTGACTCATTTTAGGAAAAATCGTAACAAATAGAAAATATCATCATTTTGTAAAATAAATTATAACCGTATCGTGGCGAAGTAAATGATCTTTCCGATTCTGTAATTATTTTTTGTCTGAGTCTTACAAAAAAAAAATAGATCGTGTTTTATAAACGCCTGGAATAAAAAAAAAAAGAGTTCGGAAAATTGTGTGGAACTTCGCCGTCTGGCGGGAAAAATGGCACTAATTAAAATGCCTAAAACTTTTTTTTTACGATTTTTCAAAAAATACTTAAATTTTTAATAAAACATTTAAAAACTTCGTCATTTTAAAATAAAATCGCACGAAAATATTTTTTTTGTTTGTAGTATAGTATTATCCAAATTCTGCACACAAATTGAAAAAAATTGGTTTAAAATTACGAATTTTTTAAAAAATATGTTTTTCGTTTTTAATACAGTATTATAGTAAAAGGGAAAAAAAGAGGTTTAATATTTTGCTTTGTCCGATGTTGTTTTGGTCCCCAACAGTGTTTATCTTCCCTTCCCATTATCCTCTTGTTGCGGCCTGAGTGGAATATTTATGTATATCCCTTAGCTGGACTGTTCAAAATTAATCGGCAAACGACCTTTCAACAATGATGCGTTGAAGGAATTAACAGACTGAGATACCTCTGTCCAGTGATAACTAAAAAGTAAAAAATAAATTAAAAGTAAAAAAAAAATTTTTAAAAATAAGCTTTTATTTAAATGCTCTAAAAAGAATAAAATAAACTTTTCGTTTAAAACTTTTTTTGCTATCAACTTATAAAGTCTTTACACAATTTATGATACAAAAGCTTGTCGCGAGATTTACCTGTGTAGATAAACAAGCAAATTAAATAACTTGATCTGACTGATTTTAATTTTTTTAAATTTTCGAACTAAGTAAATACGAGTACTTATATTTCGCGACAAAATTTTATATCATAAATTGTGTAAAGACTTTATAAGTTGATAGCAAAAAAAGTTTTCAAAGAAAAGTATATTTTATTCCTTTTAGAGCATTTAAATAAAAGCTTGTTTTTTTAAAAAAGTTGTTTTTCTTTACTTTTAGTTTATTCAAATTTTTGTGTCTCCTCTACCTAATAATGTTATTAATAATTTACCTCTTTTCTTGCATTTCTCCTATTTCAACCTACCTCTATACTACGAACAGTTTAAATTAAAAAAAAGAAGTTTCACTAAAATTATTGACTTGTAAGCAATTTTTTAGTATTATCTTACGCCTTCTAACAGCATTATTTTTTATGTACTATTATTTGTGAACACTTTTAACGATTTTTGAAATAAAGTTGACACTTTTAGTAGTTCTTTTAGCAATTTCTAGTATAATTTTTTCTGTCATTTGTTAAACTTATGATGAGTTTTCTTACCGTCATTGTCGCTTGCTTCCACATCTATTTTTCTGAAAAGATTTATGAAACAGTACTAATTTTAAATAGGAAAGAATTTTGACAGCTTTTATTTAAGACATCATATATATGTCTAATTACGTTTGTTAAATTACTAGTTGCTTCAAAAAGCAAATTTAAAAGTCCCAAACTCAAATTTGAGACATCTACTTTCAGTCTTTTTCCTTTATTTCATCTATGTGTGCATTTTTTTTACGTAACTGACTTTTTTATTCATGCATATTATGATATTAAAAAAATATTGAACATTTTTTTATTTCATTTAATTTCTTTACTTATCAAAATGCAGTCTCGTTACAAAAGTAGGCGCATCTCAACTTTGGAAACGACTTTAAATATGTTACAAAGAATTAAAACAGCTTTAAAAAAGTGCGTGCGCTTATAACCATACGATAGAAGGGATAACTCCAAATTATGAAATGTTATTTCAGGGATTAGTTAGGTGAATAGTAGAGAGAGAAAACAAGGGGATATTAGTATTATCCTATAAAATTATTTATTCATATGTTTGTACTCATAAAGTAATATTTTTGTGCGAAATATACAATCATATTTGGGAATCAGTTGTTTTCTAAGAAGGAAACAATAGGTTTATGGTAACTGAAATAGGTTATAAATACTTAAGAGATTCAAAATTGTATTTAAATATTAATAAAAAAAAACTCCGCCAAGCCTTGCTCTGTACTTCCTCGTGCTTCATTTGGCTCATTTGACATAACTAAAAATTGCATTTTGTTTTTAAAAAATTAACTAAAGGTTCTGATGTGTTCTTTGAAAAATCTACTTTAAAATTCCCACTTAAAATCATAGGTAATTTTTTCAGAAGACCCGATCCGGCTTTGTAAATTTTGGTTCTGATTTAACAATATTCAATTCTATCCATGAATTAATTTAAACAAAGGGATAGTAAGACAGGTAGTTGATTGGGAAGAGTGGAATCTAGATCAAAGCTTTTAAAAAGAGATTTAATCAGAAGATTTATATCACATAATCTCTGGCTTATACTAGCTATTTTGTCATTGTATGGCAGTTTTGTACAAATATATCCGGTGCTGCTGCAAGAAAAGTCTTCTTAATTATATTTTGTTTTCTTGTATTTAAATTATTTAATGTAACTTTTTTCTTAATACATGTATACTTAATTTTGTTATTTTAAATTTTTAATTGTTTTTATTTTCTTTTTAGAATCAAAGTATATATAGATAATGTGATTAATAGAACTATTCGTTCATTGTTATTCCGATACGCTTACAAAAATAAATTTTTATTCTTAAATTCACTGCTATATTGCTAATGATAATGATACTATTTACTTAGCTCTATAAAAATTTGTTCTTTTTCCACATTTTATTTTTAACTTTAGTGTAGGATTTCTCTTTCTCTCTAAGCCTACTTTTAAAAATATTACGCTTTATTTTCATGCTTCAACTAGGATTAGAAAGAATCCCGTATTTATTTCCGTAGAAAGAGGTGGGGGGAGCCCCACTTAGGAAAAGCTAGGAACTTTACTTTTACGGCGTATTGGTGGGGGGACAAACTACCGCGTTTCAGAGTGGCGGGGGGAAACATCACACCTTTCCTTTTTAGGGGTGTGTATGCCCGACTAAAGACGAAAAAAGTCGAATGAGTGTCACATACCCGAGCGTGACGTTCATTCAAGTTCACTCACCAGCAAAACGTGCCAATAGAAACTATCACTTCAAAAATTTAGAATTTGAATTACAATATTTTACTTTAAAAGTTATATTATAAAACTTTTTATGTTTTTAAAATCTTCTCACAATCATTAGAATAAAGAAAATATTACGAGGTAGTGTTCAAAAGTTTCTGGACTGAGTCTACAGCGTGAGAACTCTTTGTAGTAGAACTTGTACTATAATGTTTGTGTGTTTCTGCGTTCTTCTTCTTTTCTAAAAGTGATTTGTCCCAAATCATGTAGTCGATGGCTCACCTCGTTGTCATATTTTGTAGGCGGGTGCTTTTA